GTGACTATTGTCTTCGATTTTCTCTTTAGATGCGTTATAATTTTGATTCCTCCATTTTTATTAATGAAATTCAGTTGCCATTGTTAAAAAAATAATAATAAATAAAACTAAAATAATTTAAAATTAAATTGAGAATTAAATAATTATAATTACATGCTTTTAAATTTTATAAAACACCAGTAGGACTGTAGGAAGGAATATTGTTTTATTTATAATAAATATTATTTTATTTAGAAAGTTATCACATTTTAATTATAGAAGAGAGAGAGGAATAATTTTATACAACACATTTATAAATAAAAAATTTTTAAATTATTAAATAATAATTGGGATTGACTCAACATTAGTGCTTAAATATGGTAAAAAAATGGATCGAAGAGTATTTTTTAAAATTAATCACTATTATTCGATCTATTGACCGACTAATCCAAATCATGTACTGTAGAAGCGAGGGCGACCTTCCCAACCCAATTTGCTCCATTCCCAAGCGCCAGGATTCGAATCCCTAACCTTTCTTAAGGGATCTAATGTCTCGTTACACTAAACCAATTGACTGTTGGTATCCAATATCCGAGAGGTACTCAACTATTAGTTTGCAAGTTTAAGGCACCATCACAGGAATATTAGAAGGGAGAGAGAATCCGAATGCTTACAGAGACAGAAAACGAAGCACCTGAAAGGACAAATAATATTGGCTCCGCCATTGTTGGAGGGTTTCAGGCTAAATTGAAGTTGAACAATCACCCTGTATCAAAAGTTCAAACCAAAAACATCTGCAAATCCATCAAGTTTTGATTTTGAGTATATCAAGATGGCCTTCATTTATGAGTTAAATCATATGTAAGAACCATAATCATGCAATTACACAGGGTTCTTTCATCTGTTAACTGAGAAACTTCAGAGATATTAACAAATCAGAGCCTAAGTTATCCAATTTTCTAGTTATTGCACCTTCTATTTCATGCTGTACATGAACACTGCTGTTTTCTTCCAATTCCAATATTAAATATTTTCCTTTTCCTTCCTCCTGCTGCAACCAGTCTGTACCGAACATGAACACATGGTTTTTAAATGTATATCAGAGAAAACCTGCGCTGCTGAGCAAATTAGTCAAATATTAGAATGCATATCGATGTGTGGTGACAACTAATTCCAACCGAGAACCGGATTTTATCACCAAAGAATGGACTTGGGGTCCTCGCTCGAATGAAAGAAAGTTAATACAACTTAGAGCACTACTTAGAGTGAGTTCAGTAAGCACAAAAGGTCAGTAAGCATCTTCCTGGAAGCCATGCCTAGCATAGCTTGAGACCATAGAATCACAAACCAGAGAATCCCGAAGTTCCACTTCTTCAAAGAGCCGAACCGAGTCCTCCAATGCATTGCATTTTGAGGAAAGGTCGATAACAGTGGTTGAAACAATGGAATTCGAGATGAACCCCATCTTGACACACAGAGCAGAGATCTGCTTATCCAAATTTCTCAAATTAGTACAAACAGCAATTAAATTGGACAGTGTAAATTCATCTGGCGAATAACCTGCCAGTCTCATCTGATCAAACTGTTTCAATGTCAAGTCTTCATGACCCGACTTACAACAACCCGAAATCAATGAATTCCAAGACACAATATCCACCTCTTCCATACTCTAAAACAAACTAAAAGCATACTCTTCCAAGCCAAGCTTACGGTACATATCAATCAACGAATTGCCGATCACGCGTAATCATGTTATAGTGAATTTCCTTCCCCTCAAATGTTGCCAGAATTGAAAACGTGAACTTAATTGATCTAACACCAAAATTCTGCATTCCTTTCCAATCCATAACCCCAACAAGCCACAAGTCTACAACCCAAGATCATCGAGTTCCAACTAACATCTTTCTCGAGCTTTTCATTGAACAATAAACATGCTTTCTTAAAAAGACCAAACTTTAGCAGCCTATTCAACCAAATGTTCCAAGATTAAACATTTTTGTCGTTTACCTCCTCAAAAACTTCGGAAGCATCATCAAAAGAACCAACTTTTCGATAAAGATCCGAATTTGATCAACTGAGCATGGATTGTTTGGGAGAGTTGAATGGACTTCAAGGGTAAACAGTGTGTTATGAGGTTGTTGTAATGAGAAAGAGTGGGTTTCTGAGACCAAGAAATTGGTTTTAGGAAATGGAGCAAATGTTTCTTTCCTCTCTTTACAAAGTAAGGACTAAGGAGGATATATGATGCTCTATCTACTCTATTTTAAGGGATCAAATATTTGATCTTTTTAATGCTTATATTGCATGTGATAAATCAAAGCAACTACAATCAAATCTAAAACAACCTGTGAGAACACATACCTACAAGCAATTGCCAAATAAAATGTCCTAGAAGAAAAAACGCATCTCTCTCCCCAAAGCTTGTTGTTTGAAGCAAGTAAAAGAAGCTGGCCCGACAAAACCCTGGTGAAGACGAAATTGTTAAATGCGTCTAGCATTTTCGTATCAAACTTTGTTGCCAAAGGATAAAATGATCTCTTTCCATTAGCAACTCTTTCGCCAGTTGCCACCATAACAATGCTTGTTTAACTATCAGCCCAACTGAAACCAGGATTCTTCAGAATCTTCTTTTCTCTCATTATCCTTCTAACAATAGTTGATGTTTCCCATTCACCAGAGGTTGCAAATAAGCTTGATAACTGTACATAAGCACTGGAGTTTCCGGGATCAAGCTCAATAATCTGCTCTGCCACCTTCTTTCCAAGAGTTCTATCTCCATGAGCAACACAGCCTCTCAAAAATGATAGCCACAAGCTTGCATCTGCCTCGAAATGCATTTCTCCTATGAGATTCATTGCTTCCTCGAGGAAACCAGCACGGGCAAAAAGATCAACCATGCGAGAGTAGTGCTCTATCCCAGGATCAATATGGTAGTCCCATTTAATCGAGTTAAACCACTTTCGTCCCTCCTCTACTAGTCCACAATGATCACATGCCGACAGAACCCCTATAAATGTTATTTCAGTTGGCCTTACACCCGCATTTATCATTTCATTGAACAAAACCAATGCTTCAAACCCACGACCGTTAGAAGCATAACCCATCAGCATGGAATTCCAAGAGATTTGATCAGATTTTGTCATTGTGTCAAATATTTTTCGCCCATATTCAACTAAACCACACTTGCAGTAGAAATCAACAAGGGAGGTAGATATTACTTGATCAGATCGAAGTCCAATGAGAGTTGCTTTAGCAAAAACTTGTTCACCAAGTTCAATACTGAAGATGCTAGCACAGGCACTGATGGCACTAGCCAAAGCAAATTTGTCGATTCTCAGGTCTAATTATTCATCTTGCATAACAGATCTAAGGCCTCAATTGGACAACCATTTTGACTCAGACCTACAATCATGGAATTCCACGATATCAGGCTTTTATTTTGCATTGTCTTGAAAAGTTGCTTTGCATCTTCAATTCTTCCACAGCTGGAATACACAGTGATCATATAGTTAAGCAAGATTGTATCATAGGCTTGGAGCTCACTAAAAAACTTGCAAGCATCATTAGGCATTCGGCATTTGGAGTAAGCATCAATCAGAGTGCTGGCTACGATAACATCGGAAATCAGACCAACTTTACTAGCATGACCATGGATTTGTTTGACATGTTCTGAAATGCATAAACTACTGCAGGCCCTTAAAATAACTGCAATAGAAGAAAAGTCTCCCTGAACCCCCTTTTCCCTCATATTCTTGAAGAGAGTTAGTGCTTTGATTTCCTCATAGTTCAGAACATGTCCTGAAAGCAAAGAATTCCACAAAACAACAGATGGATCACTCTTTCTATCAAATATTCTTCTTGCATCAGTCATTCTGCTACAGGTTGCATAACCTGAAATCAACGCGGACAAAGCGAATTCATCTGGTTCCGTCATCAAGTTTAGAACATGACTTGCACCATCCAAATCACCACATTTCCCATACAAGTTTATCAGAGAACTACACAAAACCGGATCAAGTTCTATTCCTCCAACCACCATATGTGCATGAATCTGCTTCCCGAATTCAGTAGCTCCCAAATCAATGCATGCCCCAATAACAGTTGCCAACACAAACGGATCATCACCGAAAGACCCCAATTCTTTAAACAGCTCAACAGCCTTTTTGGCATCCCCATTTCGAGCATAACCATGAATCAACGAATGGCAAGCAAAGGCGGTTTTCCTAGGCATGTTATCAAACAAAGCCCCAGCAACTTGTAACTCCCCCGCCTTAACAAACCCAGAAATAATAAAGCTCCAGGAGTAATCATTCTTATGCGGCATCAACTTGAACAAATCCAATGTCTTCCCTTTATTTCCTGATTTCTTGTACCCTTCAATAACTGTATTCCAAGAAAAACAATTTCTCTGCGGCATTTCATCGAACAGTTTCCAAGTCTCGGACATACTTCCGCACCGCGAATACATCTGGAGGAGACGATTTCCCACTGCAAAAGTGGAAATAATGATACCCTTTTTGAGAAAAAAAGAGGTGGAGCTGTTTTCCTATGAGAATGGAGCTCCGGGCTGTACAAGATTGAAGTAAACGACAATAATATTGGTGATCAAGCGCCATGGTCATGCGAATTAGCGATTTGGTCTGCGGTGGTTGATTTTATCAGTGTTATGGTCATTACACAGAAAAAAAATCATCAATTGCGCTTTCTGAAACTGTAAACTATTATATATATGTATATATATATATCTCACCACTTGTTCTATCCATATTCGAAAATTGTGATTGTCTCCTAACAATATAAATGGCGACAAGAATGAAACGGTTCACTAACTACCTTGAACCGGCTGTTTTTTTTTACTGATGGGTCAGCTAGAAACAACATGTAATCAGGGTGGGACTACACTATCTATAGAAAATAAAAAATATTTAAATATATGATAATTTAGAATTTTCATGAAACGATTGTTCTTAGTTATCCTCTAAATTCATCTATGCATGTAATAAGGTCGATTACATTTATGTTATCCTCTAAACAGCTACGTGTTAGACATGGATGTGGTAAGAAAATTCCACTGCAATCATTTTGTTGCTCTCATTTCAAACAAACTTGAAGCAGAAAAGGCAGCATCTTGGGAAGCAAAATCACGACTCATCTTCAATCTCAAGCGAAGAAAGAAAATTAAAAAACTACACTCTGAATATTATACAGACAGCTGCATTTCTCTCTGCTGCGGCAATCCCCTGTATGTACTTAAAACTAAACACTTAACATTATTTAATAATGTTTAATCGTTGAAACGCCATGTTTAAAGATGGGCTGATCTCTTTTACCGCGATGTTTTGGGTGTCCTGGAGAAGATGAAAGCCAAGCACCCTTTCCTTCTATGCCTGCATTTACGACAAAACAACCACCTTTTCAACTTTACACACCTTAAACTCATGTAACTTCACCAATTTAATCTCTTACGTAATTTTAATTGCTTTATAAAAAAAATATTTTTCGGATAAACTATATATTAATTACCTAAACTATCACTTTTGTTCAGTTTTGGTATCTAAACTTTATATCTTCTCAAAATCATAGCTAACATTTAGTTTATGTTTTATTTTGGTATCATATTGTTCAAAGCTTAGCGGTATCATCGTGTGTGCCATTTTTTAGGATAAATTATATCATTCATCACTCAATTATATTTTCACTTATATTTTGATCACTAGAGTTTAAAATTTTTAATTTAACTACACAACTTTAAATTACTCATGTGTTAAAGTTTAACTTAGAGTAATTAAATTATAAGTTATTTAAAATTTAAATAGTTAAATTAAAAAAATAAATTTAAGTGATCAAAATAGTTGTGAGAAAATACTTGAGTGATCAATGTTGTAATTTATTATAAAAAAGTGTCATCTACGATAATTCCGTTAAGTTTTAAACGATAAGATACTAAAACAAAATAAAAAATAAATATTAAATATGATTTAAAAAAAATGACGGATAAAAATAATAGGTACTAAATTTATAGTTTACCCATTTATTGTTGCAAAAAGATGTTTGACAAATTCCATTTTCATACCTGTGGCTGGTAGTACTGCTGATGCTCCGGCAGCTGTTGCTTCTGCCACTGCCGCCGCTGCTACTGCTGCTGCCACGGTTGCTCTTGGTGCCTCCGCTGTTTATAGTCGATCCACCGCCGTCGCTCTCGCTGGACTCCGATCTCTTCTTCCACCAATCTTTTTCTGATGTGTTACTAGATGCATCTGCTACAGTTGGCTTTGGAGAAACTTTGGAATTGTTACTTGTGTTACAATCATTCTTCTTCTTGTCGATGTTCTTTTTCTTAGACCCCAAGGAAACTGGAAACACCATTTTCAGAAGAAACCCTCCGTTATCCAAGCTCCCGCTCCTATTAATCTGCTGCTTCTGACTGTTCTGCCTCTCGCTCTTGTAACTCGAACTTCTTCCTCCGGCGAAACTCTCCTCTTTCGGCTCACCGACCACCGACTGCTGCTGTTGATGTTCAACGAGATCTTTCAACGTGAGTTCATAACAAGACTCGGGCATTTTACTAACCATTTCCATAAGCTCCCGCTGGCCTCTGGCGATGGCCTGAGCTCTCGAAGACGGCGAAAGGCAGTGGTAATCGGTGATCTTTTCATGTTGAGGACTAGTCTTCCATAGAGGAGGACTGGAAATCCCAGATTCATCGTTCCAGCTGCTGTAATTTGCATGTTTCTGAGCTGTTTTTGTGGCTTTAGAATCGTTGTTCTTGGCATAGCCATAACTACTACTAAATCTTAAGTGATCCGACAAAGTGACAAAAGATTCGGGGTGTTCTTTGCTGGGATCGAACATGTTTTTTTGGGAAGAAAACTGGGTGAGAGTTAAAGGAAGAGGCAAGGGAGTTATCGCAGATTGCTTAAAAGGTGGGCGAGGAGCCATTCTCTTCACCGAACCCAAAGCTCATTTGTCTCAACAAAAAAACTTGGTTTAAATGGCGACAAGTGTCCACAATTTTTGAGATTTTACAAGCTGGTGTCTTGATTTTTTTTAGAAATTCGTAATTAATGTATGAAAGGATAAATTACATATCTAGTCATCAAATTATTATTTTAACTATCAATTTTCTAAAATTATATTTAACACGACATTTTGATTATGTTTCAATCATCTATTGTTAACAAATTAAAAGTAATACTAATGTGTTAGTATCATTATTAAAAAATCATGTCAATATTTTGTATTTATTTATTTAACGACGTATGATCAAAATAAAACTAAAAAAATTATTAGATAATTGAATATATAATTTATTCTACGTTAAGAATTGAATTTTAGGGCATTAAAGTCAATAAATTCTAGAGGGCCATCCCTTTGTGGAATTGTATTATTTTTCTTGAAATGGGTGTGTAGATATGTATGTGATTTGATGAGATTGTGGGTTATATTTTTTTTTTGTGGATTTAAAAACAGTCCTTTGTGGATTCCATCGTCACTCTTAGTGAATAATTTATAAAGTCTTATGTAAATTTCAATTGAGTCTTAGGTATACTCTGGCCCTGGACTCGGGAGCTACTCTTAGGTATGCTCGACCTTTTAGCTCTTATGTTGGCAACGTATTTAACAAGCTATATACCTTGAAAATATTTATAAAAAAAATCAATTTAAAATCTAATTTTGTAAGTTTCTATGATTGCTGTTGATTAGTTGAGGGAATGTTAGAAATGATTATATTTTTAAAATTTTAAAATCTAAATATCTGGGGTAAATTATGTATTTAGTACCTAAATTATTAGTTTTAATCTATTTTAATATTTAAATTTTTATTTTTTTAAAAATTATATTTAACGGTTAGTTTTTGTTTCATTTTAGTATCTTGTCGTTAAAAATTTAACGGACGAGCTCGTCGGCCCCTGTGTCTAGAGTCATTAACCGTCACATTTGTTGGCTAATGAAGCCCAAACTTTTTAGCCCGCATCTTTTCGACCCCTGAACATGATTTTGGCATCTGTTTCACAAAAAAGTGCCTTAATATCCCCAAATTGATGATGGACTATTTGACTTTTTCATCCTCTGATCTCCATCGCCAATTGTCCGGTGGCCTAAAACTGAAATATGTTGGTCAACTCATCATTCTCTCGTGGTTCATTGTTCGGATTGGTCGTCCGTTTACCGAAACTATGCCCTGTCAAATCGTTCATTAAGTTTTTAACAAGATACTAAAATAAAACAAAAACTAAATGTTACATATTTTGAATAAATTAAAAGTTTATATACTAAAACATACTAAAACTGATAATTTAGGTAATGAAAACTCAATTTACCTTAAATATTTTTATGTTTTTATTAAATTGTACTATTAATATAAAAATATATATTTATATATAGATAAATATAAAATTTCATGTTAAAGAACAAATATATAAAATTTTAAGTGATAAAAATATATTATCAATAAAAATATAAAAAAAAAATCTAAAATATATATAAATTTAAAATTTTGAATGTATATGTTAGTCTCCCCTAGTTCCCCTTTTCATCACTATATCTCTAAATAAGCAGAATTCACTAATATTAATTAAAATTTTATTCTTATAAAAATAATAGTTCTTTTTATAATTTAGAGTGATTATAAGGTAATATATTTAAAATCTTTTTTAATTATTAATAAAGTATATATATATCCTCATACACTATTGCTTGAATTTAAAATTTTGTTCAAATTCATAACAGCAAGACGCCCATTACAGCTGCCAGTGCTCGAATCTATAGCCTTTAGGAACAACAACACTTCCTTTCACCACCGAAATAAATTGCTTCATACAATTCAAATTTAAAATTTAAAGTTATATTATTGAGAAAAGACTCATAAACATTAAATATACACACAAATAAACATAGAATATATATATATATATATATATATATATATATATATATATTGGCCAATTCATTTTACTGTTGGATACGTATATTACATAAGACAAAGAATATGAACGTTATGGATTTATATGTGCTTTATCCTTATTATATTTGAATTAATATTCGAAGAGATAGCAAAAAGGTGCTAAGAACAAGTGGTAATGGTATAAGATGTTTCAAATTTCGAATCTCAATTCCTAGCTTTATTCTCAGATTAAAAAGATAAAAAAGAATTGCGTAAATTACAAATTTGGTAATTGAATTTTACTCTCTCCTATTATATTCACTATACTTTAAATCTTTTTAATTTTCTTACTTAACTTAATGCATTAGTTTTTTTTGGTAACTCATTTGTTTCCTCACTAATGATGTTAAGATGTAGTTTTTTTGTTGTTAACAAATGAGTGACCAAAAAATCCAATGCATAAAATTTAATGATGAGATTGAAAATAATTAAAAGTATAATGAGTAATAGGAGAGAGAGAGAGAGAGAGAGAGTAAGGTTGAGTGATTAAATTTGTAATTTACCCACTAAAAAATAAAATAAAAAATCCACGCCATACCATCATTAGTAAAGAAATGGCTGAGTAATAAAAAAAGTCGATTTATTAAGTTTAGTGAAGCAATTAAAACTATTAGTAAAGAATTATGGGTTTTTTTTTCGAAGTTTTTATAATTAAAAACTTTCAATTGATACGTTATCTTTCTCTTAAGTTATGAGTTTGATATTTGTGTAAGAATAAAATTTTCGTTTCTCCTTCACGCAAATAATAATTGTTAAAAATGAAATAATTTTTTTATAAAGTATTTAGATTTGAATCCTGTTAATTTTTAAAATACTTTTAATTTAAATTTTATTACGATTTAAATAAAAAATAACATTTTCACAATATTTGAATAATAATCGTTAAAATACTTGAAATATTTTATTGTATTATTCGAAATTCTCAGATTTAATGCCAGCCATCTTGGCAACGCCGTCAATGTACACAAACCAAAAAACAAGAGAAAAGTAGTGGCTCAAAAAGAAGCTAACGGCGCCTCAATCGTTCAACTTTTTCTTTTGTCGGATATTGTCGCTTAAATAAGGAAGATTCACGTTTGGCCCCCTCATATTTTTCAAGTTGTTTTTTTTAATACCATAGATTGTTAATTTAATGCAAATAAATACAAAATAAAGCCATTTCAATATCTAATACAAATAATAGCTTTAATAAAATTTACTTTTTATTTTCTATATATATACTCTTCTGTAGTGGCTTTTTTATTTACTTTTTACTTCAATATAAACCTCAAATATACATTCACACTGGACTTGGAAAAATAAGATGAGAAGAAATTAAGGGTTTTAACGGCGTCGCATGACACACGTGGGGCGACCAATTTAATTCAAAAAAAATTATGTTCGATATTTTAGATTTTCTTGACAAAGTGGTTGCCCATTCACTCCATAATTTGGGCACATTATTTCTTAGTATTTATTTCATATGATATGTCCCATTCTATTAATAATTTTGTTGTTGTTTTCCTATGGTTATATTACAACTATGTCTTAATCATTTCTTTGTTTGCTTTCTCTTTAATAGTGGAACTAAAGCTTTTGAATTCAAAATTGCTTAATTTCGTACCCATTTTTTTTATAATTTATTATACATAAATAATAATAACTAAAAGCAATTATCGTGACACAATTTGTCAAAATATATTTAATAAAATTTATCTATAATAATATTTAAATTAAAATACGCCATATTTGGATATGGACATGAAATTTAGATATGATAGATTTCCATCTCTCTAACCTTATAAAGTAGTTTTTTTTAATTAGATTTAGTTCTTTCTTTTAAGTTAAGATCAGATTCAAGTTTAGGCTGAATTTTTTTTACCCAACTCGAGATAATAATATAATCATCTGTCATATATATTTAAGGATAATTATACTAATATCTCTCCCTCTCTGTATTTTTTTAATTAGGTTCCTAATTTGCCAAATAAAAATGAAAACTATATATATTTCGGATCATAAACGAATATGAGTATTTACCCCATAAATCTGGTCAATTTTGAGTCGAGTAAAACCTCCCTAAATCCAAGTAAAAGTGGGTGACAAATGAAAGATATGATGCCTAGATCAAATTCAAATAGGCTAAAAACTCTACTCAATCCGACCTATATCCATTCCTAAGTCATATTTATGTAATATAAAAGTTTTTAAATCTTAGGTAAAATACACAAATGGTCCCTCAACTATAAGGTACTACTTTTTTGAGTTCTTAAACTATTAAAAGTTAAAAATAGTCCCTCAATTACATGATATTTTTCTGTTGAGTCCCCTACTATTAAAAGTTACAAAATGGTCATCTGACTATTCATATGCTCGAAAAATTATCATTTTCCATTAGAAAATTGACGGTCGTTTGAGATGAATATTAATTTGCTGATTGAGATATGATAAAATCATATTTTAATGATATTTGATGGCACTACTGTTACTTTCAAGCATTGACTCGACATCATAATGTAAACGAAAAGTCGATCCACAAAATACAACTCAAATGGTTATGGATAAGATTTAATCATATTCAAGTCAACATATTAATGTCTTTCTTCGTCGAGTCTTGGGGCATCTGTGAATAACTAGCGGTTAAGTGCCTTGGCATTGACTGGGATATCTAACTATAGGATCATATCTGTTAAAGTAACTAGGGTGTTCTGATTGTGCCCCAAGCATCAAACAAGACTAGTTTTATGTCATCATAATTGTTATTGTTTCTAGCCGTTCTAGGTTATTTTTGTTCTCTCTTGTAGTTTTATTTCATGATGTTATAGTATTATTGGGTCCCTTAATTCTATCCCTTAAAACTCTTGTGTTTCTTACCCGAAATTATTCGTGGGTACTGATACTAAGCATTTTAGAATCAGTACCGACCTCTGGGTATCGATACTACTGACTTATTGAAGGTTGATAACAAATTATTGGTATCGATACTTTAGCTTGAGTATCGTACTTCTGGTATGTGGTATCAATACTTTCCTGAGTAC